GGAGCTTTTTACCGAATATAAATAACATATACATAACATTAAAGCAGAGAGCATGCAGATAAGATATATAAGCAGCATATATCACAATGCATATATAGATACAGCACATGCATATTGAAATACATGGAAAGCACTACTAAACTATACATCTAAACATTCTAAAGCTGAGGCATAACTAAAATTAAAGGACACACCTAAAATTAATAAAATTGAGAATGGAAACGAGGAATGTGTCAAAGAGAAAACAACCCGACAAAGAGCAGAAAACAGACCAAGGCCGCCAATGGGTCTTCAACACAGCGAGAAAATACCGCGCCCGGAGGCAAGCTTCAGTTGGCCCCTAAACAAAAATAGTTTATTTCTACACTTTGATAAATTATCGTTCTGCAGACCTGATTCTCAAACATCTCCAAAGTTTATCTCTTCACTTTGATAAATTATCAGAACGATACAGCATGCAGACTAGATTCTCAAACATCTGCATAGTTTATTGAAATTGCACCTCATTTATATATATATGACATTCATAAAAAGTGACCCATACCAGCGGCACATCTGTGTATATCTTTATATAGGAAGAGACTCTCGTGCTATTAGGAGGCCTGCTATGTATGTACCTATATATTGATACGAACTAGTATAAAACTGGTCCATTTGATAACAGACATATTGAACTGTCTAGCTGTAAATCACGCAAAAGAATGGATAATGATCACCTCGTATAGTCTATAGAAAAAAATTAGTTTTTTTGCAAAACTTCAATCTAATTAACACAAGATTTATGACTTCGCTATGGTTATAGCAGAGTGAGCTTCGACGAGTAAGCGAATCACAATCGATCTGAATTACAGTCAGATTTGGCAAAATCTTAGAGTGGATTCCGGCAAGGCAGAAGCAATCTTGTTCATCATGAGCGTTTTGAAACAAAAGAAATCTATTTGCAAAGGTAGCTTCCACATTTGATTTCGAAAATGGAGAGAGTGTTATACAAAGAAGGCAATAAAAAAAAACATCCATAAGTCATGTAACAAACTGGAAATGCACTATATATATGAATCAGCATTATGTTTATATGGTAACCGTATATGCACTATGTAGTTGAACAAACTAAATTCATATGCTTTTAAATGTTTGCTAAAACAATGTCATTTCTTTTGTTATGTCAAAATTCTTAAAAGATCATATGTATTAAGGCATTGAATGACTTAAAAGTTATGTCCAGTATTGACCAAGGAGCTGACCGCAATATTTTTTTATATCGATTTCTTGTGAGGTCCATGTTAGATTACAGATCTTTGTTTAGTGTAGTTGTTCTGTGATGAAGTCCTACATTCAGATTCGATAGAATATTTGCAACCTGGGAAAAAATTCAAATCATAAGCATAGCAAAATCACATATATTACTTTATGGCTAAAACAGACACAGATATATCTTGTTTACGGGAGGGATAAATCATTACTTTGTAAAACAACATTCTGATTCAAACAAAAAATTCTCTGAAGATGCTTGGTTTCTTGATTGACAATATATATATGTAGAACTCTTAATTAAGTGCGACGGGGACGCTAAAACGCGATGGTCACGCTAAAGTGCGATGGTCTACACTAAAGTGCGATTGTTTGATACGCTAAAGTGCGATGGTCTGTGCTATTTAATGGAACACGCTAAAGTCTGATGCCTCAATACGCTAAAGTGCGTTTTCCCGATAACAGTGGAAATCAACAAAAATGATAAAGCGGATTACCGTAAAAGTGACGCTGTGTATGAAACACTTTGAAAATCATATTTTCCAGTAGTTCTGTAAAATAAATTAATAAATTAAAGTAATGTAAACTAATTTTTGCTTGTTGAACATATACAGTGGCAAATATCACATGCATATATATAGGACGAGCATACGCATGACCATTTGACTGGAATAATTTTAGTATTTCTACTATTTATGTTAAGGTTGCAAAATGTAATTTAATTAACTAAAGAGGGAAAAGAGATTCTAGATGGCTCACTTGGACGTTGAGGAATTTAATTCGTCCAAATTTAATTTAGCAGCTCCTTCTATGTTTGTAATTACATGTTATGAACTTGCGTGAAATAAAGTCTACTTTTGTACTTTCTAATGAAATCATTCGTAGACTATAAAACACTTTTTTACAATATGGTTCGTCATTTCTGTTAAAGATATGGATATACGTCAACTAGACAGTAACCTAACGACCAGAGGTAATGAGACAACTCTCCATCCTAGACCAAATGTCAATATTGTAAGCAACTATAGGTTACCGAATGCCTTTAACGCGGAGCATTGGCTAACAGCGCATAGTATATTCTAAAAAGATCAAAGGGCAACAAAACGACCAGTGTAAAACCTGGTTTATATACAAAACAATAAACGGAAAACAAATATGAAATACAGCAACAAACGACTTCCACTGAATTACAGGTTGCTGGCTTGACAATCTAATTAAAATATAAAACTCGGATTTCGTTTGCAGTATAACGAAATCCGAGTTCTATATTTTAATTAGATTGCTGGCTTGAGACAGGTTCATAATTTTATTTTAAAGTATATACCGTAGCTACTGCAATGTAACCATTACACTTTTTTGACAACTATACATCGTACTTTAAATAAAAAAATAAGACAAATATCCACACAAGAACAAATGTCATTGATATATATGCAACTAATAACTGTACGGCCTTTAACGTGGAGCCTTGGTCCACGCCGCATAGCAAGCTATATAGGGCCAAACAATGACCAGTATAAAACAAATCAAAAGAGAAAGACAACGGCTTGCTTAATAAACATAATAATAAACGAAAAACATCACTAATAGGAACACAGCAACAAACGAAACCATTGCCTGAACCCCATTCCCGTTACATCATCGCACTTTAGCGTGCTATACTATCGCAATTTAGCGTGTTATACAATCGCACTTTAGCGTGTAATACCATCGCACTTTAGCATTTGACACCATCGCACTTTAGCGTATACCCTTGCACTTTATATATAGTGTGACCATCGCACTTTAGAGTACCATCGCAATTTAGAGTCCTATATGTTACGTTTGTAGGACGTGTTTTTTTTAACAAACAGCATTTTCATATATGGGAAACAACTGTGCTCCTCTTCCAGCCAACTTGTTCCTTTATTCATATGAGGCAAACTTTATATATAAACTATAACAGTATCCTTCAACTTCACGTTCTGTTATATAGATGGTGTCTTCTCACTATAAGCAATTCAAAGTTTGGAAACTATATGTTAATGCATCTATCCGACCGAAATTTAAGGATATAACTGGTTCAGCCTTTCCTCATATCTTGACTTACATCTTGAAATTGACAAAGATGGTTGGTTGAGAACAAAATTTTACGACAAAGGAGATGAATTCAGCTTCCTAATTGTGAACTTTCCATTTATATGTAGCTACAATCCAGCGGCGACTGCACATGCATGGATTATAAATCTCCTAGTCGATATTCAAGAGCTTGCATTTCCTTTCATGATTTCTTTGATATACAGTGGCTGCGTGCTTACAAAGAAGCTATCAATTAGTAAACCAAGGGTTCCAACTTCTACTTCTTCTATGTGGTTAATCTGCAGTCGAAATTTCCATAACGCAGATATATCAAGTGATGGAGTTGAAGTCATCCCATCGAAAATTTTACGAACGCCATCACACATTAGTGGACCATTATGGAATATCTGGTTCACAGATGACCGCGGATATATTTTAATTGTCGAAACCACAATCCCGACGTCCTATTTTCCTCGAACATGACATCACCGAATTTGTACTTACATGAGCAACACGACGGTGCAACATGTAGAGCAGGATATGCTTACCCTTTCAGAACACCTCAGATCAGATCACCACCGGTTTATTTTGGGGTTCGTGTTGCTCCGTCTTTAGATTTCTATTTTGTGTTTTTTAGACTGTGTTGTTTGTCTTTTGGTCGTTTTTCGTGTTTAGTCATATTGCGTTGTCATTTTGTCTTCTAGTTTGATTATCCCTTGGTATATTCTGCCTCTCTTTTAATCAGACTAGAAGATTTGCACCATCAAATGCTTCGTTTGTTATGCTTACTATGATCTACTATTACCATTCTAAATCATAGTGCTTTTAAAATATATGCGTTTTGAATTAACTGATTTCCTCACGGTTTGTTTGTATTGGTATGGCTATACTTTAGTATGTGGGTTGAAAACTGAATTGATATAAAAATAAGGAGATGAGGTATGATTGCCACTGAGACAGCTATCCACCAAAGTTCAAATAAAGTAGATGTAAGCAATTATAGGCAACCGTACGGCCTTCAACAATGAGAAAAACCCATACCATATAGTCGGCTATAAAAGGCCCCGACATGAAAAACTGATATAAAACAATTCAATTGAGAAAAGCTAACGGCCTAATTTGTAACAAAAGCTTATGTAATGATCATTTCAACTCTAAATAAAGCTTATCTAGTTATTAATTATTTATGTATTTATTTATATATACTTACCTGCTGATCGATGTGTCAAGTGAAAGAGAGGCGAAAGATACCAGAGGGACATTCAAACTCATAAGTCGAAAATAAACTGACAACGCCATGGCTAAAAAAGAAAAAGACAAACAGACAAACAATAGTACACATGCAAAGCACAACATAGAAAACTAAAGACTGAGCAACACGAAACCCACCAAAAACTTGCTGTGATGTCATGCTGTCCGGCTATCCTCTCTGGGAACAGTATATCAATATATATATGTTCCTGGTCCTCTAAAATCGGTGGCTGTACTTCATGAGAAGATTTCATATTGAAACGCCATAAATATTTCAGGAGGAAACTTTCCTCTGCAATACCCACAACTATTTTTAGAATTTCGAGGCAGAAAACAAAATAAATTTGTTTTCAATATTTTTTGCTAGATTTCACCGGAATAGGAACGGCTGCACTCGAGACTAGGGTTGACATTTAGAAATCGATTTAAAACAGGAGATTGACCCTGATTGTTAGTACACGTGTTTTGATGACGTTGTCACAAGAAGTAAATAACGAAAGTAGAAAATAGATTCTATGTAAAAATATTGTTTTTTTATGTTGGCAGAAGATAAAGGGATTGAAGATGAGGAGAGCACATATGGGTAAATTGTCTGAACAAAGATCATGCACAAACTGCAAATGTATTGCATGAAATATCAAAATATAAGAATGTTATGCCATATGTCATATGATATAATAATATGAGGCAGGCATTACCTGTGAAAGGGGACGAAGTCTGTATGAATTATTTTTTTTAATTCAAACATATGTTAAAAAAGAAACGGAAATACCGTAACGTTTCCGGTTTTGGTTCTGTTGTTAGGTGATTTTAGTTGTGACGTTTTTTAAGTTATGACGTCATATTCAATGTAAACAAAGAAACGCTATCATCAGGTAACGTTTTTTCATATCAAATAATTGTTAAAAATGAAATTTGTATTGTGTTCCTTCCTATATTTTACCGTGAGACTGATAAATATACATTTTACTCAAAGTATCATGACAAACGAGACCGGAAGAAGGAGGCAGATTTCTGCGCAGATGCGGGGAAATAAAAAAGTCTGAAAAAAAAAAGTTAACGATTTTGAGTTCATTAGTACAATGAAAATTTCGGGAAATTTTCCCGGATTTTTTTTTTTTTTTTTTTTTTATTTATTTTTCTACCGTAATTGGGGACTTCGTCCCCATATGATAATGGCATATGTCACAAATTATATTTTGAATGATATAGTATACCCCTGAACACATTGCCTTCCTCATATTTCTGTAGACAGCTTCTACAAGTTTAGGCTAATTCAAACCAAAAGGTGCTTATTTAAACCTTTTTATACGCCCTTCAAATTTTTGACGGGACGTATTATGGTATACAAATGTCCGGCGTCCGTCCGTCTGTCTGTCCGGCGTAAACATGTCGCACTGTAATGTGAGAATGACTTATCCAAATTTCATGAAACTTAACATAGTTGTTTCTTATGATGGTCAAACGATCTGTATACTTTTTGGTGAAAATAAGATTAAAACTTTTTGAGTTACAGGACTTAGTAACTAAAACAGGTGTTTGTTTTTTTTCACATGTGGCGCCATATCTCAAAAACAATTTATGATTATTGCTTAAAACTTTACACACTTCTTAGTTATATTAATCTTAAGATCTGTATACTTTTTGGTGATGATTCAAAATTTTATTTTAGAGATGAGTATTTTGTTAAAAAAGGGGGAGGGGTTTTTCACATGTCGCGCCGTATCTCAAAAACAGTTTATGATTATTGCTTAAAACTTTACACACTTCTTAGTTATATTAACCTTAAGATCTGTATACTTTTTGATGATGATTCAAAATTTTATTTTTGAGTTATTGAGTATTTTGTAAAAAAGGGGGAGGGGTTTTTCACATGTTGCGCCGTATCTCAAAAACGATTTATGATTATTGCTAAAAAATTTTCAAACTTCTTAGTTATATTAATCTTAAGATCTGTATACTTTTTGGTTTTGATTCAAAATTTTATTTTTGAGATAAAATTTTTTTTTTTTTAAAAGGGAGGGGTTTTCACATGTCGCGCCGTATCTCAAAAACGATTTATGATTATTGCTTAAAATTTTACACACTTCTTAGTTATATTAATCTAAAGATCTGTATACTTTTTGGTTTTGATTCAAAATTTTATTTTAGAGATATTGAGTTTTTTTGTAAAAAAAAAAGGGGGTTTTCGCATGTCACGCCGTATGTCAGAAACTATTTATGCTTATTGCATAAAAATTCACACACAAGACGACGGACATATCATGCGCTCATGGCACAGCTTTTTATTTTTACACATAATACAATACCATACACCTCATTAGGGGCTATTTTCACACAAAAAAGTCACGAACAGTTCAGCATAACTTACGACCAATTTTAATCCTAAGATTTTTTGCGAAAAGAGTTGCAGTATTTGTTTCATCATTACCAAGTAACCTGATTACTGGATATCACGGATGTTCATATAATCTGTTTGTTGGATGACATCAACATTGTCAATACATGTAGTTCAAGTGTCACTGATTCCTAAATCTAGAAAAAGGTCTTGGAATCTTGCTACCAACATTTAAATTAAAGCAGGATAGCTGGTATATATACAACATGCACTGACTATAAACCGTTTTTGTTGATGTGTAGTATCTATACGCTCCTTATTTGATTGAAATATTCACCCCTTTTCCTCCCATCCTGGGCACTTCAAAATTCCTTAAGTTGGTTACAGGTCATGCAGGTGCATAGCAAATAACAAATAGCCATAAAGTTCCTAAAGAAATTATGTTAACAGTGGCTGTAAGAGAGAATAAAAGAAGCAGAGGATACCATGGGGACATTCAATTCTCTTAAATCTAAGAGAAACTGACATTGCCATGGGAAAAACAACCGATGACAAAAAGACAAACAAAACCACAAAACTCTACATAAAAACTAAAGGCTATGCAACACAATACACAGACATAAGAGTGTATCAATTAAATATTAAATTTAATGTCATTTGACATCCAGTTAAAAAAACAAAAAATCTGTAACAGTTATTGAAAATTATTCCAATTCTAAATCAATCAGTATTATGCATCACCGTTTTGCAAGTGACACAGAATCAGTTAACAAGTTTTAGCATTTAGCAAATACATTATATTGTAACTTGTAAGAGCTTTATAATGAAAAGTATAGCATATACATTGTATATTTATTTTTAAATTTCATATTTATTTATTTTAAAAGGAAATGGTTTTCAAGGACAAGAAGGAGACATTGTGGAAGAAGACAATCAGAGAATGGAGGATGATTTGAAATATAAAGTTCAAGCTTTAAAATCAGTATGTTATCTTGTCACCTGAAAGATTAATGTTCACATAAAGTGTGCAAACATAAAATAAGAATGGTACACATTTAAAAAAAAAACCCACACAATTGTAAAATAATAACATAAACCATCTACTGGCAGAAGCTATTATGAAACTTTTTAGTAAGGAAAGTCTGTGCAAACAGTGAATTTTTTTTTAATTTATTTTTTAATGTTATGAAAGGATTGGATGAAAAAAGATCATGAGGGTGTTTTCTGTAAATTTCTTTTTAGATCATTTAATAGTCAAAATACAGTCTTCAATAATAGACAGGTGTCTAAACAATATATGTCAAGTTCTTAATCGCCAGGTTCTTTAAAGTTATGAATATATTGAACATGTACAGAGACTATCATTTAAACATTCAGTTGGTTTTTTGAAAAATGCTTAGCTTCTTAGAATTGGAAAATGGTCATTAGATACATTAACCACTGTATTTAACTCAGCTTTTTTAATAAATGTTCTAGCTGTCCATCATGCTTGACATAATCAGTGGTCATGTTTGTAATGTCAGGTATATCATACCAGAAATCTGTTAACCAAGGATGACTTATCCAAAAAAATGTTGTAAAATAAAGGGTTGTAATCTGATATGAAAATTCTAAATGGCAATACAGAAATGGTGTTATATTTACCGTATGGGTATATCATTGTTTTGAACACTCTCATTGTTCTAGACGTGATTTAGAGGACAATTGAGACATAATCAACAAGGGCAGAAGTTGAATCTGAAGTGGTCAATACATGTACATGTATGTGGAACAATTTGCCATTTATCTTTATATAATTAAGTTAAATGAAATAAATACAGTAGATCTCATGATATTAAAATATGTACGTTTTTGTTTACAGTTAACAATAGATATTGGAAACGAAGTTAGAGATCAGAACAAGTATTTAAATGAAATGGTAGGTTTATTCTTTCTTTTTGGTATTTAGGAATATTTTAGGTCAAATTGCAATAAGTCAACTGTATCCAGAAATTTATTGTTTTTATATGTTTACCATTTATTATACTTTATAGTAACATTAATGAAGTAAATGTCAATTATCTGAAACATAAACTAAAATCTTAATTTAAAAGTTAAAAGATGTGGTATGATTGCCAATGAGACAACTCTCGACCAGAGACCAGATGAGGTAGAAGTTAGCAACTATAGGTCACCATTCTGCCTTCAGCAATGAGCAAAACCCATACCGCATAGCAGCTGTAAAAGACCCTGATATGACAAATGTAAAACAATTCAAACGAGAAAATTAACAGCCTGGTTTATGTACAAAACAATAAAAGAAAAAACAAATATGATATACATCAACAAAGTACAACCACTGAATTACAGGCTCCTGATTTGGGACAGGCACTACAGAATGTGCCTTGGTTTAACATGTTTGTGGGCGCCCAACCCTCCCCTAACCTGAGACAGTGGTGTAACAACGCAACATGAGAACAAACTATAAAAATTCATAAGGGTTCTGCGGAACCCAGTGTCTGGCCTACTTTTGCTGTTAATCGCAGGCTCAACAAAAATGAGGAAAAAAAAATCAATAAAAATATTCCTTTAGATACTATCTTTTGATTGTAAGAAGCTTCTGTCAAAGTTTGGTATAAATCCAGGATAGTTTATGAATCTAATAAATGTTTTAAAAACTTTAACTGCAAACTGTATTTAATGTTAACTGGAAGAAAAACTAAGACTATTTATAAGTAATATCCGGAAAAACAGGAAATATATTTTTACAAAAATTCCTTCTAGATCTAGCTTTTGATCATAAACAAGCTTCTGTCCAAGTTTGGTACAAATCCAGGATAGTTTAAGAAAGTTATTAAAATTTTAAAAACTTTAACCACAGAGTGAATGTAATGTTTCCTGTCAGAAAAACTAAGTCCATTTACAAGTAAAATACGGAAAAACAGGAATTTTATTTTTACAAAATTTACTTCTGGATACTATCTTATGATCATAAACAAGCTTCTGTCCAAGCTTGGTAGAAATCCAGGATAGTGTAAGAAAGTTATCAAAATTTCATAAAAATTTAACCACAGAGTGAATATTTGTGGATGCCGCCGACGCCGACGGAATGTAGGATCGCTATGTCACGATTTTTTTCGACTAAAGTCGAAGGCTCGACGAAAAACTGTTGAAAAGGACTTAGTCAGGAATCTGATGTTCAGTAGTTGTCGTTTGTTGATATTTATAAGTGTTTTTATTTTTGTCGAGCCTTCGACTTTTGTCGAAAAACCGAGACATAGCGATCCTACATTCCGTTGGCGTCGTCGTCCACGGCGTCCACAAATATTCACTTTGTGGTTAAAGTTTTTGAAATTTTAATAACTTTCTTAAACTATCCTGGATTTCTACCAGACTTGGAAAGAAGCTTGTTTATGATCATAAGATAGTATCCAGAAATAAATTTTGTAAAAAAAAAATCCATTTTTTTCCGTATTTTACTTATAAATGGACTTAGTTTTTCTGACAGGAAACATTACATTCACTCTGTGGTTAAAGTTTTTGAAATTTTAATAACTTTCTTAAACTATCCTGGATTTCTACCAAACTTGGAAAGAAGCTTGTTTATGGTCATAAGATAGTATCCAGAAATAAATTTTGTAAAAAAAAAATTCCATTTTTTCTGTATTTTACTTATAAATGGACTTAGTTTTTCTTCCAGTTAACATTACATACAGTCTGCAGTTTAAGTTTTTAAAACATTTATTAGATTCATAAACTATCCTGGATTTTTACCAAACTTGGACAGAAGCTACTTACAATCAAAAGATAGTATAGAGAGGAATATTTTTATCAATTTTTTTCCTCATTTTTGTTGAGCCTGCGATTGACAGCAAAAGTAGGCGAGACACTGGGTTCCGCGGAACCCTTACAAATTTTTTTATATAGATTAGACCGTTGGTTTTCCCGTTTGAACGGTTTTACACTAGTAATTTTTGGGGGCCCTTTATAGCTTGCTGTTCGGTGTGAGCCAAGGCTCTGTGTTGAAGACTGTACTTTGACCTTTAATGGTTTACTTTTATAAATTTTGACTTGGATGGAGAGTTGTCTCATTGGCACTCATACCACATCTTCTTATATCTATTAACTTGTCAGAACGATTCAAATCACAAGAACAACTAATGAAAACAAAGGACACAAAGTACATACATACAAACATTCTCTCATTTTTATATATATATATATATACAAGTCTAAATTGAAAACAACGTTACAACCTATGATTGCGTTGGATAAAAACCACAATTTTTATACGTGTGCATGCAAAACAAATTTCTTGTTAGAGGTGTCTAAATACAGCACAAACAACATTTTCCAAAAGACCAAAAAAGTGAAAAAGTATATTTTAACAAAACGCATTTGACTTACAGGTCAAACAACAAATGTTCTTAAACCCTGCTGACTGCCATTGGCGATTGCCAAATAAAAGGATCACCGATGTAATAAATGGATCTTAATTATAAATTTAATACTTATATATATATATTTACAAGTCTAAATTGAAAACAACGTTCAAACCTATGATTGCGTTGGATAAAAACCGCAATTTTTATATGTGTGCATGCAAAACAAATTTCTTAGTAGAGGGGTCTAAATACAGCACAAACAACATTTTCCAAAAGACCAAAAAAAGTGAAAAAGTATATTTTAACAAAACGCATTTGACTAGCCGGTCAAACAAAGGATGTTCTTAAACCCTGCTGACTGCCATTATATATATATATATATATAATATAATATGATCATGATGATAGATATACCACATCTCCTTATTTTATATATCCAATGAGACAACTATACAACAGAGTACAAATGACTTGGATCTAAGCAATGATGATAAGCTTGATTTCAATTTTACCGTTGAACTTAATTATAATAGAGTTATAGAACTTTGTTCATGAAAAAACAGACATTCATAAACTTGTTAGAATACAATTATACAAGTCATGTTTCTTTGACCAGTTATTGGACTTTTATTCATTAACAAAATGCCGTTGTATCACATGTGCAATGAAAACTCTATGCTTTGTCTATTAAGACTTTTGAAATACCGTTAAAAGGCTTGTATAGTCCGCGGTTTTATTCTCCAAAATTGACCCTGACAGCAGGGGTGCGGATTATAGAGTACAATAAGCAAGAAATAAGAGAGAAAATTTCAATTTCGCGATGTGGTTTGTTTACGTTCCGTCATGTTTGTTATTGACATTATAGATGGCGCTCTTTTCATTTTTCAAACCAATAATTTTACCCAATCCATATTAATAAGTTATTTTTATTCAATATCAAATTAATACTGATAAATTTAAAAATTAAAATGCTTCATTACAAAATTCTCGTTTCTTTTCAATGCATTGCTAAATATAAACTGGTATCTGCTTGAATGAAATTGTACAAAAAAGGAAAAAAAAGACAACCATAAACCAGCTTACGATGTGTAAACTACAAAACGTAATCGGTTATTATTCGTTCCGTTTTGGTGTTTCCTATTGACAAATATATTTTGTATCAGCTAAGACCCTTCAAACATTAATGTGATAGATATATTAAACACTGTTTTACATAAGGAGGGAACTGTTTTACTTTCAAAGTCGTATTATGGTGATATCTATTATGTACGGATTTTGACTCTCACCGGGTTTTTTCATCTTTTACACGTGCTTTTCAAACTTCCGGTTAAAACATACACACGTTTCTAAATTGTTTTTATGTGTGATTTAGACTTAATTTAACCAGCGTGAAGTGTTTTAGAATCATTTACAAGCAGTTTCAGCTTCTGTTTGGTGATGGAAAATAGGTTTTTTCCAAGAAAATACCGCAAACGACCACACACGATTTAAAATTACCTGTGTTTCATTAGACCTTTTCTAACAGTTACAAAAAGTTTTTTTACCTGAAATTTCGTGGGGAGAAGGGGGTGTGGACTATGTACCAGTGCAAACTATACAAGCCCGATTACGGTACACAATGTTAGGTTTGACATAGATGAGCTCCATAACAATTTTTACAATTTTGTTTCTTTAGGTTATGAGACTTTCCTTCATTGATAATCAACATACATTTTTATACCCCCACTCAATATTAAGTGGTATGCTGCAACGATTTTGTCTGTCTGTTTGTATATATTGGTCTGTCTGTTCTTTCCTTTCTGTAGGCAGTTTGTCAGTCTATCCATGATTAACTTTGTAACATATTAATCAAATTTATTTATGCATATTGTCAGACATGCATGGTGCATTTATGTATTGGATAGTTATTGATACTTTATATTAAATTTGTTAATTAATATAATATATTTTTAATCAATGATATAAGAAAAATGATTATTTTATTTCAGCATGATGATTTTGATAAAGGAGGGAGTTTATTGGATAAAACAGTGAACCGTTTGAAGAGAATAACTGCATCAGGTGGACATAAACATATATGCTACCTATTAGGTTTTTCTCTGTTTGTATTCTTTGTGATATGGATGATTGTCAAATTTAGATGATGACGTTGAAGGATGATGTTAAATAGCTGCAATATGATGAAAGTTTAATACAGAGATTCTAGATGATCTAGAGAAGAGTGTAACTCTTAAAAGTATTATCATTGATAACAAAAAGTAAGAAGATTTCTGTGAAAGTGCTATTCTTGGATAATAATCTTTAAAAGGTTAATGGTTCATTTCAACTGTAATATATTATCAACATTTTATAGCTTCTTATAAAGTAGAAATTATTTACTGTAAACTTGGACCACTTTGTGGGTTATTTTTTTGACAATTTCAATCCATGACCATCTTTTGTGTGGGAGTTAAATGTTCATATTAATAGATAAGTGCTCTGTTCAAGATGGTTGATTTGTGTAAACTATTCATGTGGGGATCACTTGTACATGATTGCAAAAAGTCGAAAATATAACCCCAGCACAAAATTTTCCAAGTGTACGGTATTGACCCAAAAAAGGGAAAACCTTTTTAATATATTATTGAAAATTGTATTCTAATCTGACTTTATTATGAACTTCTATTGACATATTTTGTCAGGAAGAATACTGAATTTAGAATTCCTTCAGAAAACGAAGATACATGAAAATTAAGATTTTTCTTCCTGATGAAAAAAGTATACCTATCTCAGTACTGCCTTCCTTTTTTAATGAAAATCCTTTGAATGCAAATTTACAGTACACACAAGAGGCATTTATTCAAAAAATATTTGTTGGTGTTGAGATATTCCACTGTGAAATAAGGTGATTGAGGGGGATAACATTCTAATTAACAACCCTATCATATATATTTCATATGGATATGTAACATGTATGCAGAGAGATATTTCAAAGTCAAAATCATCCAGTCAAAATCATTCACTGTGAAAATTCACCACCAAGAATGACATTTGTACGAATTACTATGTGTACTGAAGATAAAACAATGCCATCAGCTGAATTGTCTGTTGGTAATAAACAAACTCAAAACACAATCTTTATGTGCCTATCCTAATTCAGGAGTCTGTAATTCAGTGGTTGTCATTGGTTTACATCTGTCATGTATTTTTTTTTGTAGATTGTATTGTTATATATATACGGCTGTCAGTTTTTTCCTTTGAATTGCCGTCTATAGCTGCCTATACAGTCTTGGTTATTCTCATTGTTGAAAGCTACTGTGACCTATAATTGCTTATATCCACATCATTTGAACTCTGATGGATAGTTGTCTCATTCATGTCATTGGCAATCATACCACATCTCTTTATTTTTATATATCAAATTACATGTTGTCAAGAGAAACAACATTACAATGCATCTTGGGAACAAGGATTGTAGTTTGTCTCTGTATGTAATATGATTTTTTTTTTTTAATTTAAAAGATTTGTTATATTCCATTTCCAACAAATCTTGTTAAGCTGGACATGTGGTTTTGTATTTCTAAATAATATTATATTCTCTATTACCCTTTCATTAACATTTACTTCTCAATCTTAAAGTAAGCTGTTGAATATATTGACATGCATCATTAAATGATGTATACATTTTGAAATAAGTTAATTTCACTGGTTTAGATCAAAAGGAAAAAAAAAATAGATTGCAATATTTAAAACTCATATTTTTATTCTGATTTTATGCATATTTCAATAAAACATCTGTTTAATCATAAATTGCATCAATAAACTCAACCTTTGATGATTTGAATTAATAAATGCATGCATTAATATCCTTTACAGTTATTCATTTTTCAAAATATGAACTATTTTTAATATTTTTGTCATTTTTTTTGTGTTTAATTTAAAGTGTGAATGTTACATTGTTTCATTGTCTTGTTAGCGTTTTGTTATTGTTTTTATTTATAAATGAAGAGTTGATATGATAGTCAGTACAATGTTTATATAAAGAATGTACACATGATGTGAGTCTGTAATTTAATGATTATAAACTCTAATGATAATTTTTTACGTTATGCCTTTCAATTTAAGGTTATGTAAGGGAACGACCATTTAACTTCAAGGGGTGGTTTTTTCCTAAAAAAATATTCTGATCCCCAATTTGATGAAAAATATATTGTGGTCAAGCAGATGACAAAAAAAAATATTCTGAATCCAGATTTTCCCCATATCTTATACCGGTAGTGTTTAATTTTGAAAAAAATAATTTGATTGATAGCGTCTAAAAACTAAAAAAAGCATGAAATTTTTTTCTGACTCAGACAAAAATCCATAACCCCCCCCCTTGAAGTTAAATGGTTGCTCCCTAAGACATTTACCAAATATCTAGTCAAATATGAATTGGAGCAGTTAATGTATAGCAAAAAAGAATGTTACCAAAAGTTAGCATCGTGTTATCTGGTTATATACCATGGATTCATTTATTTTTGAGGAAAAAATGTATTTTCGTGGATATTTTAGTTCATGGTTTTTCTAATTCCAAAGTCTACATACATGCTTGAAGATAATTTGTACATCATTGAACACTTAAATTTGTGGTTCACCGACATGTATACCCATTGATATCTTATACTACGGAACTAAATTTCCAGTAATAAGGTCTTCTGAAACAAATTGATAAAGCTCAGTTACGTAAATGCCATATCCACTTGTTCAATATCAATATGTAAGTCGAAACTTAAAAATATACGGTAAAAATACTCCTTTTTCACCAGTTTTTTAAGTAAATAAATATTGATTAGCATACTTAGTATGGGTTGTATACTTTGAAGTCTTTGTTACAACATACCAGGTACATGTACCATTTGATTGTTCATATTACATGATTTGCAAACATTTTGAAAGTATTCAGTTGTATGTGTATGTGTGGATATTGTTGGTTATAATGAATGTGTTCATTTTTGAATGATTTGGACAGTGCCAAATGAAATGATAAATGTATGCTTATTGAAAATTTTGATTAAAGAGATCATATTCTTATATTGTCTTTAATTTGCATTTATAACACTTTTTATATGACAAATATGCTCCTTTCTTGCCATTTCCACACTGTAACAAACAACATTTGTCCTCTATAATAGACTAAAACTTATCTTTGGTGATACAAAATTTGTTAATGTTTAAAAAGTCAATGTTTTACCTTGAACCCACCCTATATTGGATTTTTTTCTGAAACAAATTTTTTTTTCTGCAATTGATGTTAAATGTTTTTTTAAACTCATCCTATACGTCTCCAAGAATGACAGCAATTTCAGCATTCATGATGAGTGGCAATGACCCCTAGAAAATAATGTTGATCTTAATCAGATCGTTAATTCTGATATTAAATACACATTATAGTATCAATAGAAAGCTCATTGAACACACTGTTTACTAGGTATAACACTTATGTATTTTCTTCAGTACTTAGGATGTAGCAGAAGCTAAAGCTTTACTCCTTGTCCTAAATAAAATCTGGCAGAAAGCTACATTTTTGGATTCAAATCTTATTTCATGAGTCTCATGCTCTCTGCAAGACTATTATTTGTCTAAATCAAGCTAAATACTAAAAATATACAATTGACACTCTTTTCATTCCTCAGTTAAAGATTTTTCAGTAACAAACTTTTTAAATATGGAAAAGTTTCTACTTTTCAAATATTTCCTGTATTCTTATTTACTTATAATATGAGCATTATTAGTTGTGCTAAAAATAAAACTTTGTTATGTTGTACCTAGATACAATATTACCATGCATAAATTAATACTTTAATGTCCTTTGTGTTGATAGATGGTCCACAGTTTGCATATATTACTCCTACCCCTGTAAAATGATTGTAATTTTTTTTATTCTTTCAGTAAAATTTATGATTGACAAAATATCCTCCTTTATGTAATAAAATGTAATTTATTATAAAAAGTGAATTAAAGCAGCAAAAGATCAATTTCGATGATAGTTTTTATGAATGATTAACACCAGATGACCAACCCATGGTCAAGCAGCGTTATTGGTGTCATTGAACATTTAACTCTTACAGTGACGTAACATAAGATTTGACATAGGAAATGTACGAGTTGCACAAATTTGGAAGTCGTCTATTGATTTGAATAACTTAACCAAAATGGTAATCAAGTTATGAGAGAAATGGGCAATATCTGATATAAAGAATATATGCAGCTACTTCCGTCATAATTACCTTTGGTAGCTCTATTTCTATGGTTTATGGTGATGTATTGACTTGTCACAAATCTGATATTTGTTAAGAAAATAAAAAAAAAAAAAAACTGAAACATCACCTCATTAGACATCCATTAACATGTATTTAAGTTTATTTATAACATGTAAATGCACAAAACACACTTTTCCTCAGATGAAATCTCATTGATGATAATTGAGATCAAATATTTGAGACTTAATATCTAGATTTTTAAATAAGCATTTTATCTTAATAAAACTCCATTTGTATGATAGAAAAGCCAACTATATTAATTTGATTGATGATTATAGTTTGTTCCTTTAAAAGTAATGCTGGCAAAAGAAGTTGGTTTAATATGGACCTTATTTCTATCTAAAATTTTAAATTAGGATTTACTAGTAATGGCTATTATCGCTATGAATCATAGTTTGAATATTGCTATGTATCATAGTTTAAATATTGCTATATATCATAGTTTAAATATTGCTGTGTATCATAGATTGAATATTGCTATGTATCATAGTTTAAATATTGCTATATATCATAGTTTAAATATTGCTGTGTATCATAGATTGAATATTGCTATGTATCATAGTTTAAATATTGCTATTTTTCATAGTTAAAACAATGACTAGTTAGGGAGTTGTTAGATTTATACATAAGCATCTTTTTTAAATGACTCAGAAATTATCTTAAATTTGAGTTCTGTTCCAAATTTCCAAATAAAAAAAGGCAACTTAGATTGGTTTTAGAACCAGAAACATATAGCGCATGTTTCAACTACAAAATTTTGTAACACAACTTTTTTTCATAACAAATAGGCTATATATCTGACTTGTATATTCAGTTCTTTGAACCCAGCACTCTTATGTTTCCTAAGCCTACATATCCAAACTTTGATAGACAACAATCAACCACTGATCAGTCTAATGTAGACCAAACTTTGACAGATAGTAATCAACTACTGATCAGTCTAACGTAGACCAAACTTTGATAGACAGCAATCAACTACTGATCAGTCTAACGTAAACCAAACTTTGATGGACAACAATCATCTATTGATCAGTCTAATGTAGACCAAACTTTGATAGACAGCAATCAACTACTGATCAGTCTAACGTAGACCAAACTTTGATAGACAATAATCAACTACTGATCAGTCTTATGTAGACCAAACTTTGATAGACAGCAATCAACTACTGATCAGTCTAACGTAGACCAAACGTTGACAGATAGTTATCAACTACTGATCAGTCTAACGTAGACCAAACTTTGATAGACAGCAATCAACTACTGATCAGTCTAACGTAGACCAAACTTTGATAGACAACAACCAACCACTGGTCAGTCTAACGTAGACCAAACTTTAATAGACAACAATCAACTACTGGTCAGTCTAACGTAGACCAAACTTTGATAGACAGCAATCAACTACTGACCAGTCTAACGTAGACCAAACTTTGAAAGACAACAATCAACCACTGGTCAGTCTAACGTAGACCAAACTTTGATAGACAGCAATCAACTACTGATCAGTCTAACGTAGATTAAACTATGATAGACAACAATCAACTACTGATCAGTCAAACTAGACCAAACTTTGATAGACCGCAATCAACTAATGATCAGTCTAACGTAGACCAAACTTTGATAGACAGCAATCAACTACTGATCAGACTAACGTAGATTAAACTTGATAGACAACAATCAACTACTGATCAGTCATTCTAGACCAAACTTTGATAGACAACAATCAATCACTGGTCAGTCTAACGTAGACCAAACTTTGATAGACAGCAATCAACTACTGATCAGTCTAACGTAGACCAAACTTTGATAGACAACAATCAACCACTGATCAGACTAACGTAGATTAAACTTTGATAGACAACAATCAACTACTGATCAGTCAAACTAGACTAAACTTTGATAGACAACAATCAACTACTGATCAGACTAACACAGACCAAACTTTGATAGACAACAATCAACTACTGATCAGTCAAACTAGACCAAACTTTGATAGACAGCAATCAACTACTGATCAGTCTAACGTAGACCAAACTTTAATAGACAACAATCAACTACTGATCAGACTAACGTAGATTAAACTTTGATAGACAACAATCAACTACTGATCAGTCAAACTAAACCAAGCTTTGATAGACTAATCAACTACTGATCAGTCTAACGTAGATTAAACTTTGATAGACAACAATCAACAACTGATCAGTCAAACTAGACCAAACTTTGATAGACAGCAATCAGCTACTGATCAGTCTAACGTAGATTAAACTTTGATAGACAACAATCAATTACTGATCAGTCAAACTAGATCAAACTTTGATAGACCGCAATCAACTACTGATCATTCTAACGTAGACCAAACTTTGATAGACAACAATCATCTATTGATCAGTCTAATGTAGACCAAACTTTGATAGACAGCAATCAACTACTGATCAGTCTAACGTAGACCAAACGTTGACAGATAGTAATCAACTACTGATCAGTCTAACGTAAACCAAACTTTGAAAGACAGCAATCAACCACTGATCAGTCTAACGTAGACCAAACTTTGATAGACAACAATCAACCACTGGTCAGTCTAACGTAGACCAAACTTTGATAGACAACAATCAACTAATGATCAGTCAAACTAGACCAAACTTTGATAGATAGTAATCAACCACTGATCAGTCTATCATAGACAAAAGTTTTTGGAAAGTTTGCTATAGCTTGAATTGCTATAGCAATATACTTTCCTAAGGCATCGGCCTCAAACCGGAAGTTGGACAGAGTATCTTTCTATAGAATGTGTGTTCTACTCCTAGATAATGTAGTACTAGTGTTTAAATACTAATTCTAGGAAGATGCTTTTGAAATTTTGAGTTACTTCTATTTTGATTAGCTTACAGCTGAAATAAAAATGGACTGAATGTTCATCGATAATTCAAATGAATTCAACTTCATTTTGAAAATGGCTATCACAAACACTTCTTCGCGGATCTGCGCTGCGCGGAAAATAAAATCAATACACATCTACATGAGACAGCAGTTTCTACGTTATGCTTTTATCGGTATTCCCCAGACATGCGTGAGATCCATATATGTGTGCCTCCCGACGGTAGTACAATAATCCCAGTTTCAGGGGTTTCCTCTCGTCCTCTGGTTGAAGAGAAAATAAATACCGTGTTTAAAATATTTCATGAATGCACATTCTGCGACGCTATTTTTACTACGATTTTTACAAATGTTTATAAAAGACGTAAAAGTCCGAGTGTATCGAAAGTATCCTGGTATCTCATCTCGGCCCACAACACACTCGGACTATAACAACCTCGGCCTATTACATAATCGGCCTCACAAAATCGAACTATAACAAAATTCGTATATATACTTTTTGTTATTAAGTCTTCCAAACAAAGTTTGGAGACTAATTGTTTTTGCTCAGTTCTTATTATTTTTCTTCTTGGGGTCTATTTAGGGGTATTTTGAGGGGCCTACAGAAAACAGTTATTTTAGGCACATTTGTTGGGATTAAGATTTATTCGTGAGTTTTCTTCATCATGTCACTCCAAATTTTCTTTCAAGTCAGTGACGAAAAAATAATTTGAAAAAAAAATATGCGCTCACAACACTTGCTTCCGGAATGATGTTGAACAGATACGCTTGTGACCAAATGTTGATAGCTTTGACGGACTGTGATTATCAGCTTCTTTATAGATGTGATGATTGTAATGTCTTGTTGTAAAAATGAATGATAGAATTTCTCTGTATTTCTTGGATAGGCTACATTTCTTTCAGCCTTTCAATTTGATATATCAATCTGGTTTGGTTGCCTGCTCTATACATAACATTACCAAATCATCTGATTAAACAGAATTTCTCAATTTAATAAAATAGTCTTCTGATGAATTTGGATGTCTAAATATTTAATCTAGTCGTTACATTTCTCTTTTCAGTAATAAAACTTAAAATAAATACACTATTTGGACATGCACAGAAATGTAATTAAATTATAAAACAGATGCGGATTCAGGATTTTGAAATAGTGGGCTCCGTGGGCCCTAAGCTAGACAAAATTTCTAGTGGATCCGGTAAAAAGTCTGGATTAACCATAAATGAAGCTCCATAAGGGGCGGCGACGGACACCCTGCGCCCCCTAAAATCGCTTCTGTAAAAATATGGAGATGTGGTATGGTTGCCAATGAGACAACTATCCACCAAAGTTCAATTGAAGTGGATGTAAGTAATTATAGGCAACCGTACGGCCTTCAACAATAAGAAAAACCCATACCGTATAGTCGGCTATAAAAGGCACCGACATGAAAGTATGAAACTATTCAATTGAGAAAACTAACTGCCTAATTTATAACAAAACAATTCACGAAAAACAAATATGACAGACATGAACCAACGACAACCACTGAACTACAGGCTCCTGTCTTGGGACATGCACATAAAGCATGTGGCGGGGTAAAACATGTTTGTGAGAGCTCAACTCTCCCCTAACCTTGGACAGTGGTATCACAGTTCAACATAAGAACAAACTATAAAATTCAGTTGAAAAGGGCTTAATTCATTAGATCGAAACAAACCAGAAAAACATCTAACAAAAGCGCTGAACGGACATGGCAGAGTATTCATACATCCCTAACAACGAAAAAGACACAAAGTACAGATCTGAGAGTACTCGCAGTTACTGACAGGTAGTTCAAAGCCAATAACAACTAATAAAAAAGTCATATATCTAAGACTATGTTTGTTTGTTTACCGGTAGTCATATGTATTCCGATCGCCTTTCTCATAGTAGATTTCTGCCTTAATTTGAATCTCAATGTTAACTTTTAAATTTCCTTTAGATACTTAGACTGATTTCCCTCAATTAAGATTTCCTATTTTTCGAAAAACATAATTTGGTGAAATTTGATAGCTTTCTAATATAAATATTTCAAATGGAAAAAATGTCGTGAAGTCATCAACAGCGCCCGTTTTTCTCACTGTAAACTTGATACATAAAGACAAACATACTTTCTATGTTACAGAGTCTCAGACAACTTGAGCTATTTCAAGTTCAAACTACAAGATGCAGTTGCTATCATATAATGTGATTAGAAATAATTGTAGGTTCTCGAAATCCATTAACAGTTTCGGATATTCAGTAGAAATTAAGATTTGGAAATCGAAGAAAGTAAAACGAAGTAATGCATATATTCATTGACTGTTCGCAGACCTTGATTTTATGACGGACATTTAGTTACAGTGTTCATTTACCATCATGCATGATAACCATAACTAATGGAGTTGTAATATTTACTTAGGCTGGTCCTCTCCCTTGCAACATATACCTTTGTTGTCAGAGCCAAACAGATAAAGGACAGAGAACCAGTCTAATATTTACTTTACTATCTTTTGATTTAACTACCCATTATTTATTGATCCACCTTATTATACTATATGTCCCACATTATGCGGCGTTAAAAATAGTGGGCTTCCGCATTCACGGTGTAAAAAATCACCTAGGGAAAATAGATCAGAACAATCAATGCATTTGAACAACTAACACCATTTTACTCTACCGCTATATTTAAATTTAAATTTAAAGAATGCTATAATAAATAGCACACTGCTACAATTCAATGAAAACTGTACACATCCTTGTGTTTATATTTACTTAATACAGAGTTTGTATCCTTATCTGCATGAAACATATTGAACAATTAATTAAACTTATAAATGTTAATAACACATCTTCATAATGAACTAGTCGTTAGTGATAGTACAATGTTTTAACCAACCACAACACGGAGATACAATCAGAGGAACATCAAGACCAGGATATTAGTTACCCAATCGTCCATTCATAAAACCAGGAACACACAAACATGACATTTATATCTATAGACACCGGAAAATCCCCCGCAAAAACTTCGTATCATAAAAATTACATAACAAACTCGAGTGTAATGAGAAAAATCGTAATAACAGGTTACTCTAATCGTCAGAAGATAATTCCAAACCAAAAAACTGGATAAAGGTAGGATGCTGTTATAGTATTAACATAAGAAGATAAAAATAAATCTTTGTGAGATAGAATAATATATTTTTTTCAGTCTAATTGAAAATTTCCAAGAAAAAAATAGAATTTCCTTTTGTTCAGTCGCATATATAATTTGCAATTGGGTAGAAATAAATACAACCAACAGTTTTCTGACGAAAGGTTTACTCTCTTCGACAAAATTCACGTTTTGTTTAAATACACAATAATACATCGGACTTGTCTGGACTCGGAACGATTAAGAGCTGGGCAAGTTGTTGAGACATCTGTCATCGTTGAACACTGTATATTGCCTTCTAGATATATGTTGGTTATATTTGTCGGTTGTCTGCTGTCGTATAAACTCCGAATTTCCGTTGTTCATATTATTACATTTTTTATTAATTTAATAGAAACCGTGTGTGACATGGCGGTGTTTATCTACAATACAAAAATCAATATGAATTTACCCTTCATTTCGTGTCGACCAACTTCCAAAAGTTATAAATTGTCAAATCTTTTTGTTCAAGTAGATCATTTTCGCCATAATCATGTCACACCAGCATGTCATATACCACATTTTCATGCATAGGTAGAAACAACTCTGAAAATGAAGTGAAATTTCAAAAGTCGAGTGAAAAAGGATCAACGATGTTAAATAAGCTGTCAAAATACACTTTGTATTGAGCAACATGGAATACAATTTCAATATCAATAGCAATTAGTTCATATTATCTAAATTCATGAAAAACAGTATACCAATTCAAGTTGTTCAGATAAATTATAAAAGAATTTACTGGTGTGTCTTTGTGTTTTTTATTTAAAAGAAAAACCCATTGAAATAGCATATTTCACAATAATATAAATCATAAAAGGTCGTCATGTACTTTTAATACTGGATGTGACCTTTTCAGTTGATAACAGTGCCAAAGAAAGAAAATTCCCTTCTGTATCTAAAAATATATGGTTGCTAGCTTTTTTCTTAGGAAACCGGAAAATCCCTTTTGGTTGAAAGGTCAACCTCGTTATAAACATGTAGTCTTGATTCCAAAATCTTATGGTTCCTATGTACGTTTAAATAAAAAAGGACTTCCGGTTTTGCAATATCATCCATTAACCTCAACTTCAGGTGTTCTTGCGAGTTAAGTGAACTGATACTCATTTGTGAAAACCTCATGGATCCACCACTAACCATTACCGGTTACGGCCAGTTATGTTTTTAATCGAACTGTTGACGAAGGTTATGCTCCGTATGTAGCACTGTTCAAACATTTTCCCTTGTTTAATATTACATTTTTAGCTGTTTTAAGACATAAGACAACGTGATCTATGATCATTTACTTTGAGATCGGTGTGATGGTCACATGTAATGAAGATAAGTTGATGAAGACCTCATGCATGAGTTTAAAGTCAAAACAAAAAGATAGTTACACATCAATGTCCCATACATTTTTAATGCTTTGATTTTCGTGTATCTTTTATCGATCGAAGATTGCTGATAAAAAAGTAACATGTCAAAGGTCCAGATCTTCCATGATCTTTTGCTTCAAGTATAATTTGAAGGTCACATAAAATGATGATCTAAGGCAAAGACTCTGTCCAACAAATTACGGTTAATTTTTGGATAAAATAAACCGTTGAAGAAGTTACACTCCAAAAACATTCTAAGATTGAACCGCTGAGCAAATTCCTTCTGCATTCTGTTCACTCATACTTGTTCAGATTTTTGTCGAGCCTTCGATTTTAGTTGAAAAAGCGAGACATAGCGATCCTACATTCCGTCGGCGTCGTCGTCGTCGTCGTTGTCGTCGGCGGCGTCCACAAATATTCACTCTGTGGTTAAAGTTTTTGAAATTTTAATAACTTTCTTAAACTATCCTTGATTTCTACCAAACTTGGACAGAAGCTTGTTTATGATCATAAGATAGTATCCAAAAGTAAATTTTGTAAAAATAAAATTCCATTTTTTCCGTATTTTACTTATAAATGGACTTAGTTTTTCTGCCGGGAAATATAACATTCACTCTGTGGTTAAAGTTTTTAAAATTTTAATAACTTTCTTAAACTATCCTGGGTTTGTACCAAACTTGGACAGAAGCTTGTTTTTGATCATAAGATAGTATCCAGAAGTAAATTTTGTAAAAAAATAAATCCATTTTTTCCTTATTTTACTTTTAAATGGACTAAGATTTTCTGCCAGGAAACAACACATTCACTCTGTGGTTAAAGTTTTTAAAATTTTAATAACTTTCTTATACTATTTTGGATTTGTACCAAACTTGGACAGAAGCTTGTTTATGATCAAATGCTAGTATCTAGAAGGAAATTTTGTAAAAAAAATAAATCCATTTTTTCCATTTTTTACTTTTAAATGGACTTAGATTTTCTGCCAGGAAACAACACATTCACTCTGTGGTTAAAGTTTTTAAAATTTTAATAACTTTCTTATACTATTTTGGATTTGTACCAAACTTGGACAGAAGCTTGTTTATGATCAAATGCAAGTATCTAGAAGGAAATTTCGTTTTCTTCCAGTTAACATTACATTCAGTATGCAGTTAAAGTTTTTAAAGATTTATTAGATTCATAAACTATCCTGGATTTTTACCAAACTTGGACAGAAGCTTCTTACAATCAAAAGATAGTATCAAGAGGAATATTTTTATTGATTTATTTCCTCATTTTTGTTGAGCCTGCAATTAACAGAAAAATAGGCGAGACACTGGGTTCCGCGGAACCCTTACGAATTTTATCTATTAAAAAGGTTTTCGGATATCACATTTGGTCGGTTACTCCATTCAAACAGACAAAAGTGAAGACTTATAAGGCTGTTTCGAAAAATGTCATTGAAGTACTTGATACAAGAATTTCTTTTTTAAAATGCAAGACTTCTTGGTCACAACAGATTTCAGAAGTGGCAGAAAAAAAAACTATAAGAAATACATTTAAGTTTTCCAAAACATTCGGGAAGACCAAAATTATCTTTAACAACCACTAGTACTGGAGAGATATCCGTGCTTGTGGACGTTTTTTCCAAGAGGGTACCACCTGCTCAGTAGTCAGTGCTCCTGTGCTGACGACATGAAAAATCATAGCTGTGATCCTTTTCTGTAAATTGACTGTTAATATTATATTTTCATCATTCGAAAGGGAAATCTATTCCAATGTATAGACAGTCTTAGTCAGATTTGGCACAACATTTTGGATTTTTTATTTTTTAGTGCTCTTCAACATTTGCAATTGATTTAGCCTTCCAATTGTTTTAAATAAAACGCCACTGACGCGTCTTATGTAAACGAAACACGCGTCCCGCGTACACAATCAATAATAAGCCTGGTATCTATTATATATTTTTACAACCACTGATCAATGCCACTGATGATGGCCGTTTCATCACTGATGGTATCACCAGCCCAGTAGTCAGCACTGCGCTAGTGTAGACAACACGAAGTATCGTTGAAATTCTATCTGTTTTACTGCTTTTATCTGAACTAAATGTAACTACTTTATTTCAATTTTTTGATCAGCAAGATGGACGAGTTTTCACCCGGAACATTGGAGTGTCATCGATGTTTCTGAATGGCTTCAGTATGTCTGTAAACTACATAAAATACCTCTAGATCAAATAACAGATCTCCAAGAAGCATTTGAAAATGTAGACGGCAAAATCCTAGTCACACTTACCCTGGAAGACTATCAACTAAAGACGATTACCTATGGTGAGATGTTACACAATGTCTTCAAAGACATGTGCTCTAATGGTGAGTTATTCTTTATTATCTCATCTTCCATCAGTTTTTCAAAACTATAGCAATATTGGACAATGACACTCTATTGCAGTAAACATGTTTGTAGAACAATAACACAATGGTCAAGGAATAATACACCGTTAAAGAAACTTGTTGATATACGATTCATTAAAAGAACGTCACTTACAAATGTTTATAAGTTATAATTGTATTGTTTAATTTCAGTTCCAGTTTCAAAATATCCAACAATTGACGAAATTGACACTCCGAAGTATTCGACGGAGGAATGCTCAAATCTTCCTTCTAAAGAAAGTAAGTTTGTATTCTGTATGCCATAATCTGATAATGGTTATTTTCAATGTATTACTGTAACTGTGATGGCCTTATACAGTTTTCCAACTTGCCAACGTTATTTTTCGGTTAATATTGTGGATAGTTATAAACACTTCTATAACTTTTGTAAACTTTGTTTTAGGATATTGGCATTGATTGCCTTGAGTTAAATATATTGATGCTTTTTTGGTATATTATGAAATTTCAGATTTGTTTATGGTAAACGTACTATCTATGCGCATTAGTTTAGACTCATTGCGTTTCAAAATTGGTCATATTGTAAAAAAAAAAATTAAAAAGGGGACATTGTGTATAAATTCATGATATAAAATACAGACACGCACTTGGTAAATCCTAAGGCAAATGAACAGCGACAAACAAATCTAATGGAGCAAGTGAAAGATCTGATTTTAATCAAATTGCTTACATTCATACTTTAATAGGGACGTTTTTAGATAATATAATGAAGATTTGTATACCTTTTTTTGTATTTTCATATAGTTCTGTACGTACATATGAATTGCATTAAAACTTGTTTTCTTATCAACTACAGTAATGTCAATACCTTTGTTCCAATCACGATTTTTTTGTTTTAATTTTTAGATGATTCCGAACATCAGCTAGTCAAACCAATATTAAATCCACAAAATTACAGCAGTTGGAGCTCGAAGGAAGTTGGAGAGGTTCTGCAACATTTATGTGGGAAACATAAGATTCCTAACGATAGAACAATAAGAATTGTTAAGCAGTTTGTCGGAGTTACGGGGAAACAGTTGAAGAAAATGAGTAGACAGGAATTCCGGGAAAAGGCAATGACTGATGGGGATTTGTTATTTCATGAATTGAGTCAACTATTTGATATTAGTAAACAATAAAATCAAGTTAAATATCTATCGTATTTGCTTTCCAGAGGAGCATTTTTCAAAATGTACTTCTCTTTCGGAACACTCGTTTGGAATATCGCGATTTTTCGTTAAACTCCAGAAATGAATAAAACGGGACCAAACCAAAAATGTACGTGATGAAATGAAGTAAAAAAGACCTCTTGCCCAAAAACTAAATAAAAAATTAAGATAAACATGATTTTAACAGACAATATGAAGATAGAAAAAAGGTCGAAAGCAAACAAATAAAATATTATAATTCCTGGAACAATAATTCATAAACTGGTATCTATAGACTACATTGTTTTCATTGGCTTGCGATAACGAATGTGTGAAGATATCTAAACGAGTGTGACAATTGAAAATATTTTGTGGTCATTCAAAAGCTTATTATAACTTCATTAATTGAATAACTGAAGATTCCAATTCAATATCAAATCAAATCAATTTCGTTTATTGAATCTAAGGTACATACATTGGACGATCGTAAAAATATTTTGTTTGCAAAACAACTTGAGTAAAACCATTATACATTCAATGCTTTCACAGCTTAGGTTTTTTACTAGTGGTTACTACCCTTAGACCACTGAAAAGATTTTATATTTACATACATTCATTATACAAGTTTCAAGGATTGGTTAATTTTGCATATCTTATACACTCCTACATTACTTATTTTGCAAATTTCAAATGCAAAATATATGAAAATTATACTTTAAAACTTTTATTCGTCCGAAGCGTTCTTCTGGATTTACTTTCAACAAGAACGCTCAAAACAAAAACAAAAAAATAAAATGTACGCCAAGTGCCGTAACCGTACAAAGCTGTATGGCAATTTATTGAGAATGTTGTTATTCACAATATTATTACATAGAAACATTTTTTTTAAAGAAACATCTTGTATTACTTATCGATTTTGCTATTTACAGCTTTCAGTCTATCTATTAAAGTTGGCAAGATAATAGACAAAACGCTAAAAGTGGTAACAATTAGTCATTTTGGGGTAGAACTGCTACAAGGAACCAGTTGATGGTTTCAATCATGTCCGTATAGTTGTAAATCTTGTATTCCTTTTCGTTTTTTAATTGAAAAAAATAATTTTGTGTTTAACTGTATCCTTTAGATTACCCGGACAACGTAATTCCATCTAAAATGAGTATCTATAAAAGAAATTGAACAGAGATATATTTGGAATTATACGTTTGATGGAAAATCAACTAACTATTAATTAAGTCACGACTCCTTGATATGAAATAGTCATTCGACTATTGTTGAACACTTGATGGTGACATTTAGTTGTCGTACGATTATTACGTTGGGTTGCTGTCTTTTTGAACTATACCCACACCTGTTTTCATTCATAGCATCCCAAACCAGAATATTAGATATCAAAATTATGGTATTTAACTACTCTGGAATTGTTTATATACAATCTATATTATTTTAGGGATAATAATGGTCGTTTACAGCATTAATTATTCAGTTTATGTAATTTTCGTGACCAATAAAATATGAAAATTGAACGTGACAAAAGAATGAACACTTGAACTTTCGTTAAAAATGTAAATGATTGCAGATCAAACATCATATACATATAAAAATTTACACCAAGATTATCCATTTCTTATATATGCAAATACAGCTTTTAATTTACACCTAAAGGGTATTAACTGAATATGTCTACACAATGAAAAGTGCATTTTCATCAATAAGTTATTTGTAATATTAATATATGTTTACACATCACTTTGCGGATTTTAGATTTTTAAATATTCCCTTTTATAGTTAATATACTTTGTAATTATTGCATATTGCCTTTGATCCCGGTAATGGAGCTGATAATACTACCTTACTTAATGTATTTCTAATATTACCATCGTACGATATTGGTATTTACTGTTGTAAGTAGTTTATATTGGTAGCTTTGCAATAATTCAAAGCTTGTTGTAAACTTTGAATTTTCACAAATAGCCTTTGGGAATATGAGAGTTCCGGAATCGTTGTTGTTTCAATGTGGAGATTGAAAAAAGTAGAATCACGTGACATTTTTCTTTGCAGATGCCTAGTTTTTGAAACAGGCGAACTAAGTTAATGTAATGATTTTAATAGATTTTCCATTAATAAAAGTCGACCACGCTGTTCTAGTTTGAACCCCTCACCCTGATGGAAACCTACCGTAAGGTGACATCGCCCATATTTTGATGTTGTATTGATTCCAACAGTGCATAGAGTTCTGACGTTGATACGTGAATTTTATGTATAAAATTAATCGTACACGGAATGACGGACTAAAGTATAGGTTGCGGTAAGCAATTTTTCGTTGCTTAAAAACATATTTAAATGAAAGAAAAATAAAAGAAAACAAGAACATGGTGTGAAACTTAACTGTTAACGTATACAATTGATATGGTGAATATATAATTCAAGAACATTTGAAAGTAGCAGTGAACGTGACATAATGTCTACGCGGGGCAATCCCGACCCCTATTCATTCCTACAACCCGCACAGGCTTCTTACGACACCTTTTAGTCATCTTTCCACCGGAAAGAAGTAATATTATTTACAGTTTCTATGCACAACCCTTGTGTTCTCTTAAAACTCTCGTAATTGGTACATTTCTTGTTATTATCAAAAACATAAATAGGAGGATATAGAGAATAACGTAATTCATGCACACTATTTAGTCTGATACGAGTTAATTACCTTCTTAATCTTAGGAGCTATAGGTTTGAAAATAAAATCCTGAATTTATTGGTATGTATGTTTTAAAGACACCATTTCATGTTTCCCCGAAATAGAATTTAGACCATTTTAGATGCTATGTTCGTTGGTTCTCTTACTAGCACCATTCAGACATATTCTAGAGTCTTGGATATTCATAAACATATTGTTGTGTGACATGCGACATTTATTATTTACGTTATTCAATTAAACGGATAATTTGTCAGTACGAATACATTTGCCATAGTATCATTATAAAGAATGGACAGTTTTCAGACACGTTTCCAATGAATCAAAAATAATTCATGAATTTATTGAAACAACTTTTCCATAAAATAGTCATATAATATTTCATTCAAGTAGTGCAATTAATTGGTATCAATTGCCTTACTAAATCAAAACTTGTCAATTTTTTATGTAACATAATATAAACAAATCTTATTTGCGACCCAGAATACTGTCACATTAACTAATATAAAAAAAAACTATCAGTGGCGGAAAGAAGAGGGAGGGGTGTGTGAGGCGTAGAGGGAGTACACCCCTCTTTGAGTGTAAAATATCTTTTTTTTTAAATAAAATATTTTTTCGCTCGGCGTTATAGATCACGTTTTCGGAAACTACACCCCCTTTCAAAAATCCTTAATCTGCCCCTGGTTATCGCCTTGATTTGAACACAAATAGTTCAGTTCGATAAAGACTCGAATTATCAAACCACCAGTGATACAATATTATCAATTATTAGCATATAGATTTTGTCGGGTATCGATAATAATGTTATCGAATTTCTTCCTTTGTATGATAGATGCTTTCGATTCTGAAACTTGTTACAATTTAAGAAAACTGCAAAACGTTCGAAAATTGTCTTTTGTTGATTAGGAGATGGCTCTTTTGTTGATTATCCAGTGGGATATTCATGAGACGAACAATTTTGCAGAAAATCAATGGTGACAGACAGCTTAGACTACAGCTGGAAGTCAAGAAACAAACTGGGGAGGGTCAGAACGTTCACTTACGACATATCACATAAATACCTTAGAAGGGTTGTTTTGGGGTTCTTTCACTTCCATTAAGCATAGCATTCTTCGTGGCATACCTTTGTATAAAATGTAATACCCTAGGGTAGAATGGAAATACCTGCATATATATACATCCCACAATTACAAAAAATATTACGTTGATATTGATATCATGAGAAATTTCCAGTTCAGAAAAGAGTAAATATCGAGGCAGATTTGTCAATATATAAACTATTTCTAACGTTTGATGCTACTGTCACATTGCAATTACGCGAGGGCGTTTCATAGTTTATAATTATATAGAACCAATTTCTGCACATTGAAATTAATTGTAAAATATCACGCGCAAGTCAAATTGTGAATCTTTCGCAGAAAACCCGATAATATGTTTATCGTACCATTTCTGTTTTTTCCTCACTTATAATCATGACTAATCATAGGTCTGTTCTATGTTTCTTTGAAATTTAAACCAAAGATGAAGAACGGGATGTTCTATGTTCCTTTGGAATTTAAACCAAAGATGAAGAACGGAATTTTCCTTCACTATGTTGGATACCTAAATTACACACGTGTTACAAACAACGTTATATGGATGGGTCTTCCAAGTGCTCCACGAAACTTCTTTCCTTTTGCAAAAGTATTAAAACATTTGACTTTTCTACCTTTTACACAAGTGTTCCCCATTTCAAACTAAAAGACAAATTTACAGAATAGGTCCTGCTTTGTTTCATAAAAAAATGGCCAACGTAGATACAAGATTATCTTAGGAGGGATTTAACGTACTTTAAAAAAAAACCCTCTGATTATTACAAAAATTCTCTGAAAATGACACTATCAAGATGCTTGATTTCTTGACTGACAACAAAGTTGTTGGAGGACATGTTTTTCAACATGGGAACCAACTGTACTCCTCTTCTTGTCGACGTCCCTTTATTCATATGAGGGTAATTGAAATGATTACTTTAATGATCTTAAATTTCGCTAAGAGCGTAAATTATTCAAGTTATATAATTTTCCTGACCCGTCAAAAACGAAAATTAAACGTGAGAAAAGAACTAATACTTGACCTTTTTTAAAAGTGTAAATGATTGCATATCAAACATCATATACTTATCATCATTTACACCAGGATTATCCATCTCTTATTTATGCAAACACAGCTTTTAATTTTACACCAATAGGTATTAACTGAATATTTCTACACAATGAAAAGTGCGTTTTCGTCAATAAATTATTTTGTAATATTAATATATGTTTACACATCACTTT